CCCACCATGGCTTCTTCCAGTCAGGTATATAACAAAACAGCTAATATTTACAGATTAATGATCCCGTTGTGCCAAGCTGTTCTTGGTGCTTAATATCCATGTGCCACCTCAGTGCCTAGAAGCTTGGGAGGTAGTGTGGTGTGTCACTTAGCCATGTGTCTCTGGGAACAAACACTCAACATGCAAATTAAGGGAGGACTGTGTGTGTGCTGATGGCTTCACTGGTTTCAGTCCACTGCCAGCTGACGCCAGAGCATCACAGATGAAGGATCTAGAGGAGCAAAGTTGCTCGCTTCATGGTGCCCAAGGACATGGCCAGAGTCTTCTGCAGGGACGCCCCCTTGCCTCACCTTCTGCAACTGTGCCTCATCCCCAAGCAGCCTGTTCAGCACTGAATATTAGTAAGTTCATCCACAGATCTGTACAAGATCCCCATGATCTGATCTCCTCTGATGGAGCCCCTTAATCCAGTCTAGTCAACAAAGAAAGATTAGCTCATGCAGGCATGTTATTCCTTTCATTGCATGGGTGAGAACCCCGAAGCCAGCAGGTTTCATAACTTGCTCAAGTTCACACGACTACCAATCAGAGTAGAGACAGGTAGAAAATGTCCTAAATTCAGACAGTTGAACCTCAGTGCCTCTGAGCTTACCATTCCACTATAGGGAAAACATAATAGTGTACAAGAAAACATCTAGAATGCTAGCACTCCATATCAGTGGGGTTGGCTTTCTGGACAATGCCCTCACAGGGGAAGTCATCATACTCCACTGGGAATGGTAAACAGCTCTACCTAGGCAGAAGTTGAAGAGAACTAGCCAGAGGCAACATAAATGTGTGGAAAAAACTTGAATCACAACCAGTAGACACATCGTTTCACAAAAGTAAGAAGAAGAGGCCAATGATTCCAGGACTTATCAAACAGGACAGTTGGGAAATGTTTGCACAGCTCCAGAGCTGGTATTGCAAGTGGCATCAGGATAATGTCCCTGTCCCAACATGTGACCCCTGGGCAGCCTATTCCACGCCCATTGTCCATTGCTCTGAAACACATCCCAAGCCAATTTCTAACACAAGGGCAGCACAGAGGAGTGGTGGGCAGATTGTCCTCCAGCTGCACCTTTCCAGAGAGCCTCCACCATCGCTCCCAGCCTCTAGAAGCAATTATACAAGGTCAGCACTGCACATTTCAGATGGGAATGCTCACGTACACTTTCTGTTCTTGCAGGAGAAAAATTTGTTGAGTGTGTAGGGCATGTTGTTCTCTGATTCACTGCACACCGCAAGCCATGTGGCCCAGGGAGTTAAACTACACTTGGAAACATGTCCTGCTGTCCTTCGCTGACCCATCAGAGTACAGATGGAGCCCTGTCTGCGCGGCCTGCTGTTAAGGCAACAAGTTCCACCTCTTGGAAAGCAGATCCTGCTGAAATCCACCCAGCATCCTGTTCCTTTCCCAGAAACAGTAAAAGTGTATTAATAATTGTTAAACAGATGTCAATTAT